AGCGTTTTGTAAGCCATGCGGGCAGGTAACTTTTAGAGCTGGTTTAGGTCCAGCAGCATCACTGCCGCTGGAGCCTCGGCGTTAGGTAGCTGTGGTCAGGTGGGCTGCAGCTCTGACTGAATGTGGCAGCGCCTACGTGCTTATAGTGACGTATCAGACATTTTATGAGCTATTCTGAAGCCTTGTGAACCCTAGGACGATGCAGAAGCACCTAATAAAGAGGGCTTGCTTTCCTCCTTTCCTAGTCAAAAGGAGCACAGAGGGGAACACGTGTCTGATGTCGTCGTGGCTGTACCTACAAAGGGCTCTGATTGACTCGGAAAGTCAGATCACGTAAATGTATAACCCAAAATCGAGGCACGGCAGCACCGTACAGAGCGGAAAGGGGTAAACTTGCACCTCCCACGTTATCCTGCCGAGGCAAGGCTGGATACACTGCGGCAAGAATTTCTTCAGATCGCTAATGAAAGCGCGATTATAAGGAGAACACCCCCTTTTAAACAAATAATTGACAAAAATAGATTTTCGTATGTAGATTACTTCTTTGGAGGGAATGAAGCCAAGGAAACTGCAGTCTGGAGTCCAGAGAGCCTGGCTGCATTCCAGCTTCCATCTGTTGCTAATTTTAATGGTCAAATTATTAAATTTTTAATGAGGCACCAACCAAATTTTATTAAGGAAATATGCATGCTGAGGAGATGTCTAAAGCCCTTTTACAGTCGATGTACGGGATCCCATCTTCCAGGAACCCTGTTGCAGGGAGTTGTCCTTCAGAAGTTTGGTCTTTGCTTGCTTAGAAAAAGAGAGAGGAGGTGGCTTCCCCGCTGGAAGCTGAGATTTGTTCCTGTTCCCTCCTTCAGGCTCACTCAGCCTTACGATAACAGTGGCCAGTGGTAGGATACGGATGAGTTCCACCTTTCCGCCTGCAGGTAAAGTTCTCATTAATGAGAGTGCAAGAAACCCTGGATCAGGCTTGATTTTGGGCATCAGTCAAAATCTTTTCACCTCTGCAGAAGAGGCTTTTCGCCCAGCAGGGCCGTGCATATCTGGGCCTTTACCAATCACTTGTAGCTGCAGAAAGCAACGTGTCAGCTCACTGCCTGACTTAACCTTTCCAATCCCAGTTTTTCAAACGGTGAATACACGGCGTAGGGCAGACATCAGCTTCTCTCCCAGCATCTATCATCAGCCTCATCCATGCGCTGATCTCATTTTTCTTTCTCGCCCTATTAATTTCAAAGTAGACTGTGCTCAGCGCGTTCAGTCGGTAGATTTCTTATCGTAGCGTTAGGTTACTGTTCATGCCTACTCGTCTTGAGCCGCCAGCAAAGAGTGAGAGCGCTCAAATTGCAGAAGGCACCGAGGAATCGGAGTTGAAGCGTCAACGTGTTTGCATTAACCGCGAGAAATCGGAGTCCTTGCTACGCTCTTTGTTTCCAAACCCTCGCCTCCCCCCACGAATGAAGCACCACTTAGCCTGGACCCGGGATCTCTGCAGATGCTGCAGAGTCAGGTTGGGGCTACAGTGAGTCTTATCTACCCAACCCCGCAGCCAACGCAGGCCCCAGATGTGCTCAGAAGAGGAAGCGTAACAGGAATAGACCTCGTTCCCAGTTTCCATGTTTGGCTGGTTGTCACGGAGATCGTCAGGAACCCCTATAGCTAATGAATGGTCATTCCTGACAACTCCAAGCCGCAGACCCTTGGGGAGTTAATGGGTGGGATCTGTGCCATGACATGTGCTCTTACACTGAGCCACGCTATTCC